CTGGACTCCCACGTGGTCGACCGCGGTTCGAGTCCTGGACCCGGTGGCTTAAACTCACGCCAGGGGCATGTGCGTGCGTGCCCAAGATCCTGAGAGGAGAATGGAGGAGAAGGGATTGCGGCGTGGCCATCCCCTCTGGGGGGTGATTTCTCGCTTTCTATCTCTCTGTCTCTCTCGGTCTGTCTGGTGAGCGCACGCACCCTATAGCAAAAACCTCCCCCCCCCCAAAAAAGAGAACTCAGTAAATACAAGCAAACATAGATCATTTGTCTTGCAGGAAAGCAACTAATGCTGGACCCTTGGATAAGATTCTTCATGGAAGTGTTGGTTATCTCACTCCAAGGAGTGGGGGTATGTGATCTTATTTTGCTTACTTCGAAAAATTTAGTTGAGGTCATTAACTTTTAGTTTCATTGTAGGTTTATAGAGACATAAACAGGGAGAAAATTACCAGTCATTGGTGTATTTTGTAAAAAAAAAATTTTTTTTAGAGAGATTTTTGTTATAGGAGGGTGAGTGTGGTTGCTGGAGAAACAGGGAAACAAAGTGAGAAATTACTCCCCAGGAGGAATGGCTACGCCCCTATCTGTCTTCCATTCTCTCTGGATTTTGGGCATGTATGCACATGCGCCTGCCATGAATTTTAAGCCACTGAATCTGGGACTTGAACTGTGGTCGACCACATGGGAGTCCAGCACTATTACCACCATGCCCCACCCTCTGGCCCCTTTTATAATGATTTCTAAGATATCAGCACTTGGTCTCCCCTCCCCCCCCCTTTCCCCCTAATTTTATAAAGTAAATTGTTCCCAGAATCAATATTTCTGATATAATTCATAAGCTGGTTTGGAGCATGACTCCTCATATCTTTGACATTATTTCCTTATATGAAGGTTTTGAAAAATGTAAATGTTAATGTTGCAGTAATGAGTTTTATTTTTCATAGGTCATTTAATGAACATAAAGTACTATGCCTCTCCGTCTGACCTGCTGGATGATAAAACTACATCTCCCATCATTTTGCATGAGAATAATGGTAAGACTTTAATTATAAGCAAACAGTCATTTGTTTTTCAGTGTTTTAAAAATATTTAAAAAGTTTGAGGTTCAGATGTAGTAGTACATGTTGTATACTGCTTCTTGGCAGGCTGAGGACAGATGAAAGGCCTGGGTTTGATCACATCCCACCCTATAAGCCAGCACAGTAGCTCATACCTATAGTTCTAGCTAATTGGAAGACTGAGGCAGGATTGTGATGAAGTGGGACTTAATCTAAACACCACATATACACACAGACAGTTTGAATGCCCAGCCTGCCTCCTAAGTTTTGGTTTGCTACTCTCTGATGACTTTGCTCTCCTTTATACCTGATACAAATAACACAGACATATATACTTTTATACACATGTACATACACAAACACACACACGCACATAGTAGGTTGTTGGGAAAGTCATGACACATTTTTGCATAGAAAAACACAGAAAGGGGCCAGCAGTTGGCGTGGTGGTTAAGGGCGTCAAGACTCCCACCTGCCCGACTACAGGTTGAGTCCCAGGCCTGGTGGCTTTTTCTCTCTCTTTCTCTTTCTCTTTTTCTCACTCAGTCTCTGATCAAATTAAATAAAGTTAAATAAAATAATCCTTAAAAAAAAAAGAAAGAAAAGAAAAACACAGAAAAATAGGTCGTGAATTTCCCAATGACCTAATACATGTTTATGTATACAAAAATAGGAGCTTAATAAGTACTCTTGAAGAAATATGAGACATGGGGGCCAGCAGGTGGCGTAGTGATTAAAGGCACTGGACTCCGATATGGCTGATTGCGGTTTAAGTCCTGGACCTGGTGGCTTGCTTTCTCACTTTCCCACTCTTGCTCTCTATTTCTCTCTGTCTGATCAAACTGGAAAATAATAATAATAAACAAAGTTAAATAAGATAATTTAAAAAAAGAATGAATAGATAAAATTAAATAATTTAAAAAAAAAATAAGAGACATAAACCATCTGTCTTAGTCCAATTTTCATTCATAACAGAAATACATGAGTCTGGATAATTTTGTATAAAGAAGATAGATCACTCATGATCTGGTGGGTGAAAATTCTAAAGGCCTAGGCTTACAGTGTAGCCGATGGAGGCAGAGGATGGCAGGGGTGTGCAGAGAGAGTGAGCAGATTGCGCTCTCTCTCTCTTTTATAGCAACCAGCTTTCATGAAAATGAGCCTCTTAAGACCTAAAGCTTACTTGATCTTGTAAGATAGCATTTGTTTATGTGTGAGAAGGTTTCCTCCATGATGCAGTCACTGGGAACCAGTCACCGCCCATTAAGCCTTACTACCTCCTAATATCAAATTCCAAAACAGAGTTTGAGGGACAAACCAAATCTAACCATAACACCATTTTACCTGAAATAATTACCCTTACTAATTAATTACTTTTGAGGTGCAAAGGTTTGTCTCTTTACTAAAAACGTATAGTAATAGGTGTTATTTTCTGTTTTTACTTCATATACCATAAGGTAATGAGAAATGGCCTAATAACCTCCTTTGTTCTCACTGTAATTCAATCATAGACTCTATCCCATAATTATAGATTTACTTAAATACATACTGAGGTTGGAGAGATTTAAAAACTGTTTTCCTTTGGGGTGTATTATTTCTTGTGTTTTACTGACACAAAGATTGTTTAGTTAGAAAAGCAACTTCTTGGGACCAGCAGTTGGCCTAGTGGTTGCATTGCTGGATTCCTGCCAGGACCTTTTTCCACATGGCCAACTATGGTTTGAGTCCTGGACCTGATGACTTGAAACTCATGCTGGGCATATATGTGTGTGTATGTGCCTAAGATCCCGGGAGGAGAATGGAGGAGAAGTGATTGTGATATGGCCATCTCCCCTGGGGGGAGTGATTTCTCACTTTCTTTCTCACTGTCTCTGTCTATCTGGTGAGCATATACATTCTAAGGCAAAAACCTCTAACTCACCCCTACAAAAAAATAGTAACTTCTCCAGCCAGCAGGTTGTGCAGAGATGAAGGCAGCTGGATCACACATGGCCAACTCGGTGGTTCGAGTCCCTGACCCAGTGGATCAAAAATCCTGCTGGGTGTGTGTGTGCCCCTAATTCTGAGAAGAGAGTAGAGAAGGGATTGTCACATGGGCATCTCCCTGGGGGGAGTAATTTCTCACTTTCTCTCTGGCAAGCACATGCATCCTAAAGCAGACTTCAAAAAAAAGAGGCAACTTCTCTGGCCAGCCATTGGTGTGGTGGTTAAGGTGGCTGGATCTCACATGACTGCATGGTTTGATTCTCAGAGTTGATACCTTGAAAAATAGACACGTGTTTGTGTGTGTGTGTGTGTGTGTGTGTGATCAAGCATGTTCAAAGAAGGAGAGATGAATGAGAAGGGATTGTGGTTGGCTGTCCTTCATGGTAAGGAGAGATGCTTTTTCTCTCTCTTCTTCTCCTGCTCTCTGGCAAGTGCACGACCTCTGGCAAATAAAAACAAAAACAAAAATAAAACTCTGATTCAGTTGTGAGACCTAGTGAATAAGGGGGTCCAATTCCACATGGCTGACTACTGTTCAGATCCTGTCCTTAGTGACTTAAAAACATGTCTGACAGGTCAGCAATGGCATGTGGAACCCATGGATCCCATACAGCCAACTTGACCATTTGAGTCCCAGACTCAGCAGCTTGAAAAACATATAGGACATGTATGCGTGTGTGCCCAAAATCCTGAGAGGAAAGTGGATTGTGATGTAGCCATTCCTCCTAAGGCATGATTTCTCACTTTTCCTTTATGTCTGTCTCTGTGTCTCTCTGGTGAGCTTACATGCCCTATGGCAAAGATCTTTAAAAAGAAAAAGCTTGGTATTATCACATACATGTGTGTCAAAAATCTCAACAGGATGTAGAAGTGGAAGAGAAGGGAATTTGATGTGACCATGCCCCACTGGGGGATGTTTCTCCCTCTTTTTCTGTCTCTAGTGAGTACATGTGTTTTATAGCAGTTAAAAAAAAAAGTAAACTTCCAGCATTTCTAACTTATACAGGGATTATAGTATCTGATTAATTATGGCTGAGAAGTAATGCAGAAGTAACTAATTTTTCCTTTTTCTTTTTCAAATTTGCTATAGGGCACTTGTGCTCACTAGAGAGAGAGAGAGGAAGAGAGTAAGCACCTCTCCTAGGAACGATGGGCATGCTGCAGTCCTTTCTCCATTCTTCTCTCGGGATGTTGGGCAGGCATGCACACACATGCGCCTGGCAAGTTTTTTAAGCTGCTGGGTCTAGGACTTTTTTGTTTGTTTTTGGAGAGGTTTATGCTATGGGGGACATGTGCTTTCCAGAAAGACAGAGAGAGACAGAGAGGCAGAAAGCAAGATATCACCCCCCAGGGGGAATGACCATGCTGTAGTCTTTTCTCCTCCATTCTCCTTTTGGGGTCTTGGGCACACATGCACACACACCCGGCGTGAGTTTAAGCTACTGGGTCCAGGGCTGGAACTGCGGTCAATTACATGGGACTTCAGCGACATAGCCATTACGCTAACTGCTGGTCCCAGGGTCTGGGACTTTTTTGTAATCACCATAATTTGTGTTTGAAGAATACCCTTTTGTCCCCCCTTTATTCTCAGTTCCTCGATCTTTGGGCATGAATGCATCAGTAACAATTGAAGGAACATCTGCTATGTATAAACTCCCAATTGCACCATTAATTATGGGATCACATCCAGTTGATAACAAATGGTAAGTTATATGTAATTTTAGAATAGGCAAAATCTGTTTTTTAGCATCAAGTCCAGTATGAAACAAGTATTTCACTTTTCTTTTTTCCCCATTTGAGTTTTCAAAGGTTGGCTTTTTATTTTTTCTATTAATTTGTCTTTTGTTTAGTATTTCTTTGAATGTTCTCTCTGAATTGTGCTCTTAGAACACTGTCTAGTCTGATAAAGCGGACTGTATTAATTCCTCTCATTTAATGATTGCTCCATTTTATTTTATGCTGGAGTATTAAGTGGAGAACATGCCTTAGGATAAATGTTTGGTTAATTTCTTCAGCATGTTTTGGAACTAGGAAAAGGAAATTTAAAGAATGAGGTTTTGATAGACTTTATAAGTATGTGTATATAATGCACTCATGTCTAAGAATAGATGTTTGGAGTTTTTATATTTGTATCAAACCAAAATCCAACCCTTCCTTTCTGTTTTTTTAAGGACTCCTTCCTTCTCCACAGTCACCAGTGCCAACAGTGTTGATCTTCCTGCCTGTTTCTTCTTGAAATTTCCTCAACCAATCCCAGTATCTAGAACATTTGTTCAGAAACTGCAGAACTGCACAGGTCAGTTTTGTGCATCAGTAGCTAATGTTCACTTGTTCTAAATGTGAATTCAGATTTCAAATTCAGATTATCTTAGACTTCTTTCAGCCTCATAATCCTGAAAGTGGTAGTAGTGATGAGTATAGATGTTACGTTGCTTTGTGAAAGTAAATGCTCGGAAAGTACTTTTTGAATAAGCAAGTAGATGAATATAGAAATCATAAAGGGAAAACTGAGTGATCATTGTTTTGGTTTTATTATGATTACTATGCTGGTCTTTTCTAGGAATTCCATTGTTTGAAACTCAACCAACTTATGTACCCCTGTATGAACTGATCACTCAATTTGAGCTGTCAAAGGACCCTGACCCTGTACCTTTGAATCACAATATGCGGTTTTATGCTGTAAGTAAGGTTCTTTTGAGCTAAAAAACTGTATGTTTTGGGCTCTATCTGTATTTTCCCTTATATAGGCCATCCAGCAGCATGGTATGGTGGTTAAGGCGGCTGGATCCTGCTCCTGCTTTTCTAAGTGCTGAGTCTCAGACCTAGCAACTTGGGATAAACACCAGGGGTGTTTGGTCTGTGCCTCAAATCTGAGAGAAGAAAGGAGGAGAAAGGACTGCAGCATGGCCATCCCTCCTGGGGATACTTCTTGCTTTCTTTCTTTCTAGCAAGCACACATACCCTATAGCAAAAATTAAAAAGAAAGAAAAATAATTTTTCTTTTAGCATTGTTGAGGTCAGATACTTTTTTTTGGCCATGTCTTGTTTCTCAGGTAAGAAATGAACAGAAGAAATCTGGGACCAGCAGTTAGCGTAATGGCTATGTTGCTGGACTCCCATGTAGTCGACCGCGTTTCAAGTTCCAGACCCGGTGGCTTAAACTCACGTCAGGCGTGTGTGCATGTGTGCCCAAGATCCCAAGAGGAGAATGGAGGAGAAGGGATTGTGGCATGGCCATCCCCACCCGCCCCAGGGAGTGATTTCTCACTTTCTGTCTCTCCGTCGAGTGCACGTGCCCTATATTTAAAAAAAAAAAAAAGAAAAGAAATTAACAGAAATCTATGAAGCTTACTGAAGTAAAAGGACATAAGCTTTTGAAATCAGGAAACAACAGTGTTTTAGTTTGCTAAATTTTAGTTTGCTATAAGGCATGTGCCCTCATCAGAGGGAGAGGGGCCAGCAGGTGGCCTGGTGGTTAAGGCGCTGTACTCCCACATGGCCAACTAAGTCTTGCTTTCTCACTTTCCTTCTCTTTCTCACTCTGTCCCTCTCTGGTCAGATTAAAAGAAAAAGAAAGGAAGGAAGGGGGGACCAGCAGTTAAGAGTAATGGCTATGTCACTGGACTCCCATTTAGTCGACCGCAGTTTATGTCCTGGACCCAGTGGTTTAAAACTCACTCCAGGTGCGTGTGCGTGCGTGGCCAAGATCCTGAGAGGAGAATGGAGGAGAAGGGATTGCGGCGTGACCATCCCCCTGGGGGGTGATTTCTCACTTTCTGTCTCTATGTCTGTCTCTCTCTGTCTGTCTGGCGAGTGCACGTGCCCTATA